TCGGTATTATTGAAATTAATCATTATGAATCCGACGAGCTTTCTAGCTTTGGATACTTGAGATGCAATGTGTTCAGAAAAGTTCAAACTGTCGCTATATCTTAAACCTAAGTCACGAACAGTGTTGAGAGGTTCCAGTGTATGCTTGTGTATAGCCAGATTTAAGTTAAGGCAACGGCCAATGTTCATAAATCCACTTTTGTCAACAGTAAGTGGCAAATTCCACGAAATAGTCCATTCGTACAACTTATTTATTTCTCCTTGGATTGCCGTTGAAATATAGCTTTCTTTTGTGGGAGATGAGAATGAATAAACCACTTTTAGATCATCGGCAAAAAGAAAAGGTTTACCATATTGAAAGAGGGAGCAAACGTCATTGATAAAAAGGAGAAATAGTAATGGACCAATTACACTTCCTTGTATAACCCCACTGGTTACATTCACAGGTTTGGAGTAGCAAGATCCAAAGCGGACAATTTGGATACGTTCTTCTAAAAATGACTTGAGCCAAGATAAAAGGGGATTCTGTATTCCATATGAAGAGAGTTTTAGAAGACGTTTGTGTGAGACGCTGTCGAAGGCCTTACTAAAGTCGAAGTACAGAATTATCACAGACTGACCAACATCTCTTCTCTGGGTAATTTGATCAAAAAATTCCAGGTGCGATGTGAAGCATTAGCGTTTGGTCATAAACCCGTGTTGGGATAGGCTGATCAGATTAGTCGTTTGTGGATGATTTTTTCCATAGTTCTTGACAGCACGGATGTCAAATTAATTGGTCTGTAGTTAACAATATCACTGCGTGATCCGGTTTTGAATCTGGGGGTGATAAGAGATGTTTTCCATACAGATGGATAGGCCCCATATTCCATAGATAGGTTGAAAAGTTTCAAACAAAATAATGAGAATTCTCTACTACCATATTTCACAAATGATGAGGGAATCCCGTCAGGTCCACCGTCATAGGACTTTTTTAAGGCAGTTATGGCCTGCTTGATGTTGGAGGGTATGAAATCGATTTTCGACAGGTGTCTGCACGTCAGCATTGGAAATGTATTGATACAGCTTTCAGTTCTAGTGTTATAGCACTGCGAGAAATGCTGACTGAATTGTTCGCAAATAATACCGGGGTTATCAATAATTCTCCCGTTAATTATGAAGAATTTGGTCACGCCAAGGGAATTTGACTTCGCACGTGATTTAAAAAGCCGAAGTATTGATAATTCTGGGTTCTTATCACCTAGGGCTTTATTTTCTATATTCATAAAATATTTGCGTTTAGATGAAGCACCCTTGTCAATTAACTTTAGTATACTCTGTAGTGTATACAAGTCATTATGCTTGTGGTAACAGCGTTTTAATTTCCTCAGCTTTCTTTTAAAAGTTTTAAAATTATTCTGGCCCCTAATGGCGTTATAAGCCACATGGCTAATAATTGGAGCAGTGCAGTCGAGGCAGTGTATCAAGTTGTGGTATAGATCAGAGATCGCAATGTCAATATTATTTGTGGTAAAATAAGTTTCCCATGGTAAACAACGAATAAGACTTTCAGTCCTTTTCCAGGTTTGTTGATCAAAATGTCTACTCTTGTACATCATTCCAGCTTTAGAATTCAATTGTATGGCGTCGAAAGAATGAATGATACACAATATTACTCTATGATCACTCTTAAAAAACTCTTGACCAATATGCACTGAGATGGAATCTATGTTGATCGTAAATAGTAAATCAAGCATATTATTCCTTCTAGTCGGTTGTCGGACCTGTTGGACCCATCCATATAGTTCTAGTGTTTCAACTAACTTGTCATGTCGACCTGAAACCGGAGTCCAGTCCCATGTGATGTTTGGCAGATTAAAATCACCTCCGATGATTTTAAAAGTATGCGGTTGGTGTGAAGCAATGGAAAAGATATTTGTTAGTAATCTGCCAAACCTAGAGTCTGCATGTGGTGGTCTGTATATGCATCCCACCAGTAGATAATTCCGAGATCCACAGTTTACAGTAACCAGGTGGAGTCGTCTATAGCATCGAGGGATTTATCCTCAAATTTGCAGGCCTGAATATCCGAACGGACATAGATAAGTGTACCGCCCCCTAATCCATTACATCTTTCGGTTCTAAAGAAAACATAGTTATCTATATGCAGGGAGTGATGGGATATAAATGAATTACACCATGTTTCCGTAATAAGTACAATAGTTGGATTTACAAGCAATAAAAGGGTTTTAAGGTGAGTAATTTTATTGGGCAGAGAGCGGGCATTGAACGAAAGAATAAGAAATTGAGAATTACCATGGTGAATCAGGTTAGAGTATAAATCACAATTGGTATTTACATGAATACTCGTAGGATTGGCTAAGGTGAGAGTTGTGTTGCGATCGGAAATAGATTCAACAACTTTGTTATCACTTGAAGTATGTTTATTGTTGCCGGCAGAAAAGCCGGCGGAAGTACAAAGAAAGTCTTCTCATTATTATTGGATATAACATTTGGTAAAGGAATAGTATTCCAGTTTTACAGTTTTGCACAAACTGAGAGTGCTTAATTTCAAGGACCGGGATGTGTGGCTTTTCAAAAAGATTTAAGACCCATAAATTTGATATTAAAGAAAAATAGTAATGAATAATTTTTGTCACAACACGAAATAGAGTGATTCCGAAGCATTGTTTTTCTAAGTTTAACTATACGTAAATGGTTATTTCGTCGTCAAGCAAAGGACAGCCTTAGTTGAACTTGGTAACCATGTATGGTAATATTTCACCTATTTGGCCAAATAGGCCTTTAAACCTTGAAGGGTGGATTACATAATCAAAAACAGATTGTTTAAGTCTAAAAATGTACTTTTCGTTACGTTCTCTTCACGTCAGGTGTAATCCTGCATCTCTTAAACTATCACTAGTTTAACTGGCTTACTCATATTATTCGGCTAATAACTTTTATCCACTGGAGTAGTGTCAGAGTGATACAATCGCTTAATTTGTGTACACTTAAGTCATTTTCTTACGATTTAATGATTTCCTAACATAGCAACCCCTGCCATACAAATCGGATTAACTTGGGCTGTTAAATATCCTCAAGGAACAGGTAAAACAAAAGGAGAAAGAAAATCTATTTGAGATAAAATACCAGATAGAAGTGATCTAAAAAAGGAAACCTAGTTACTTAACGCGTCTATTGCGTGCCATTGATTTGTCAGTCCTAGGTGGTCATGATTCAAGATCAAGTTATCATTCTCCCAAGACAGAGATACTTTCAGCTTGGCTTGTAATGCAGCCGGGATTTAGTGCTATCTTATTGGGTCTATCATCTCAGCTAGACCTTAGAATGAACCACCAAGGTAGTAGAGAAAGATTTTAGATTCCATATATTTCACTGCCCCCTAAGAGCTCAGTTCTATCTACGGTATGGCCAGGAAAATAATCATAGTACAGGTGATGAAAACCGGATTATTTGATGACAATCAATATGTCCTTAAAGATTGTTCGCCCCTATCACGAGATAATTACAGGAGACTAGTGGAGTCGAAACTCTTCTCCAGGAAGATTCAGTAGTTCCATCCATAATCTTTTCTCTCCAGACAGCAATAGGAAAATAAGATTTAATACTAATTAATTGAATAGGTGATTCATCTTGACTGAAACATTAGCTCAACGTACATATTGGACGCCAGGTGGATGGTTCTCTGAGCTGGTGATGATGCAACGGATGTTCTAGTTTTACAACTAGCTACCAGTAGCACCTTCTATATTTGATCGTTCCCAGTCAGATAGAAATCAGAAGTCAGACGAGAAGAGGCAGGAAAGATATATTTGATTCGTTACCAATATATCGAGGATCTTTTCTATGAGCTGGCTAATGAAACGTAGGAGCTGTGTCCCACGCCGAGTCGAAATGTGATCTGGTGCGGATGCATGACCGAAAGCCTTCAGCTAAACAAGTTCACTTAAACACGTGGTCAGCATCCAATGTCGAACACTTAATGAACTATTGATTTTGGGGAATTATTTACAGCTACAGATCACTACCCCCCTAGTGAGGTAGTGATGCCCCTAAGACGTGACCCGCCAGAAGTTTAAACCCAACGAGTTTGTCGCTGGTAAACACTCTTCTGATAGCTTGCTTCGTTTAACAGTATCTGGTCGTCTTTCCTTAAACTATGGGACCAAAATGTACAACATTAGCAATAAAGAAATATAGTACAATGAAAATTTCGGTTTCTTGCGAAACTTCGTCGTTCTTTTCCAGCCGTCCTGGAAAAGAGGAAAAATAAAACATGTGAGTGCATGTCGAAAATACACTCGTACTTGCGTAAGGACACAAGATGAGCGGAAAAAATAAACTGATACACTTACAAACAGCGTAAAAGCGATTGAAAAAAAATGGTTTGTTTTGGGGTTTTTTTATATATAAAAAGTATATATATATACGCTCAAAAAAAAGATAAAAATGTTTTGTTTTTTTTGGTTTTTTTATATAAATAAAAAATTATCATATTAAAATTTTTTTTGATAATGAACTATGGAAGGGTAATTCAAGATAAAGCTTATGTCCTACGTGCAATATTCGTTAAGATGTTCTGGAAATCTGACTCGTCTTCCAGAACGCGTTGTTTTAGGTTTTTCTATCGATGTTGACAAAGTATCGAGTTGTGTGTCGGTTGTCGTGTAGGGTACTACGAGTGTAGTAGCTGTGTCGTTTGCTTGTACCGAAGGAAAATCGACGTAGCTAGGGTTTCCTTCTAGGTACGCAGCTTTGAGTCGATCGATACTGATGCTATCTTTCGTACCGTTCTTATCAACTACATAGTACTTAGGTTCGCGTTGAAGAACTTTGAAGGGTCCTTCGTATGCTGATTCGAGGGGTCGTCCATGTGAGTCTCGACGAACGAAGACGTGTGAACTATGTCGTAATTCGGGTTGAACGAAAACATCAGTTGATTGAGGTCGAGTGTGAGCAGGTTTAACTGAACGCATAGCGTTTGTAAGCCTACTGGTGTAAGAGTTTAGATATTGGGTATTGAGCATATGTTTATAGATTGAGACATTGTAGGTTGGGGGGTCAATCAAAAATTTTCGGAACCGTCTCATGGCTTTGCTCCAAGATGAGGGTTATCGAGCGGAGCTACTGTCGGATCTTCAAGCTGACTACACAAAGTTTTTTTCAATGGCAGAAAGAGAACTGGAGGGGATATCGAAGACCAAGCCAGTTGATCAATATGTCAGACTACAAAAGATCGGGCAGGGTACGTTTGGAGAGGTTTTTAAGGTGAGGCATAAATCAACGAAACAGCACTTTGCACTGAAACGAATTCGAATGGAACAAGAAAAAGAAGGAGTATGTAGCGCTTTTAACACTTCATTTTTAAAGTTCCCTATAACTGCTTTACGAGAAATACGCATATTACAGTCCCTTAATCATGAAAATATAGTGTGTTTAAAGGAAATATGCCACAGTCCACGTAAGCCTATTCCTACCTCACACTATTCTCAGCGAATGCTGGTAATGGGTTCAAACCACAATTCTATCTTGTCTTTGAGTTTTGTGATCATGATCTTGCTGGCTTAAGTCAGCAGATTGATTTCACTGAACCAGTCAAAAAAGCAATAATGAAACAACTATTTACCGGTGTTTTCTACCTTCATCTGTAAGTTTTCTGAGACCCTTATCTTTTTTTGCCACACTATTTCAAGTAATGTTTGATTTTTCGGGTCTTTGATGGTCGAGAATTTGTCTTGATTCATGCAACAGAGAACTTGTCCTCACGCTTACTATGTGCCACTCAAAACCTTACAATGTTCTATTTAGTTATAGTAACCCGTGAACGAACGGGATTATATTACGTGCTTGGTGACTAAACAAACTGACTACTGACCCAAAGGTAGCAGGGGAGAAGCTCACTATATAGTTCGATTTAACAGGCCAGTAGTACCATCAGTCCTTAGTTTAACTCAGAGCTAAGTGTGTCAGATCAATTTATGACTGATAGTAGTTGAAAACGCCACGTTATGTTCGTCAGTGCTGCCTAATTTCCATACTATTCAAATTTGTCGTAGACATTCTGCCAGTGACAACGCGTTCGTCGTCTGACTTCGGAGATTGGTCTGCCACGATACTCACTCATCGACATACAATATGAAAATGGCATGGTTCTACTTGACAAAGAATTTAGCAAAATTAAGTCTCGATTTTCTTAGTCACTAATGAGGGATGAGTTTTTTCCATGTACATCCAAAATATTGCTTATGAATTAGTTTGATCCACTCTTGGATCGACACTAGAGAGCGAAGTAGTTGCGTGTGCTGTTCACCCAACTAGGAAGTCTCATTATTTAAAGTAGGTTGGTTTTATATGAGATCTCAGCATGGAATTTCAAGTTCACTGGGCTACTTCAAAGACTAATAAAAAAACATTTCGCTAGATAAATATTCACTAAAGCTAGAATAATAGTTTTAAAAAAATTAGGTAAAGGTTTTGCATTAACTCAGCTCTTTTAGTTTATTAAGTTAACATAACTCGTAGGCGATCAGTTACCAAAAGATGCATTAGATGTATGGTATTTCATGTTACTTCTTTTTAATAAACCCAGTTTTTTATGCAGTAGCTGTGTAGTTGGTTCATCAAATGAAGTTCCTACACGTACCAGGTAGTGACCTAAGTCTATCTTAATCTTTACAATCAGTGTTTTCTGTATTAGGACGACATATTTGTGTTAATACCCAATATTGGTTGTTAGTTGTGTCCAACTAGTTACTAACTTTGTTTTTGTGCTAAGATATGAGTAAACTTTTTTCACTCAAAATTTTCTAGTTTTGTTTTTTGTATGTGTATTTTCTACCCAATGGTGATGTATTGTTTATAAAGTAATATTCGTGTATTTGTAGGTAAAAATGTTTATAGGTTTTATCAGCACTTGATTGGTATTAAACAATCTAATTATTCATGTTTAGTTGTTAGTAATTGTACGATCTCCAATCATATGCTGTGGTGTCGTTTGTATCGACTCTCTGTTCAAACCCTTCCATATATGCCTGTTTACATAATTTTTACTAATGGGTCTTCATCGACATTGATATAATTTGTTCTTTTATTCCAGAAACAATGTTCTCCATCGTGATTTAAAAGCTGCGAACATTTTGATTGATAAAAACGGTATTCTTAAAATAGCAGATTTTGGTCTGGCTCGGACCACTGTTGCCTCTATCCGTCCTGACCGCCCAACACGTTATACTGGACGAGTCGTTACTCTGTGGTATCGACCTCCTGAAATTCTCCTAAATGACCGCCATTATGGAAAGCCTGTAGATATGTGGGGTGCTGGTTGTATTATGGCTGAATTATGGACAAAGTATCCTATTATGCAGGTAATTGTTGAATGAATAATGCAATTTTCTCGTGTGGTTCCATACAACACAAATAATACTCGGACTAATTTATTAGGGGTTCAGAAAATAATCAAATTTAATTGGTTAGGAGTTGGGTTAATACTTAGATTGTATTAAGATTTCCCAGATCTATGATTTAATTGAGGGACTCAACCTTCGTCCAGTAATTTATGGGTTCAAAAATAACTAAAACTACTTCATTTTGAGCATAGGGTTAGTATCATTGACCCTCACAAGAAAAGCATGACTCAAGTTTGAACACACAAATTTGTTCTTGATAAGCAAGTTACGACTTCTAAGGTTCGTTTTAAGGATGGATTTTTTGTCTATTTCTCAAGTCGTGTTATAAATGACACTTCGTGCGTTAATTAAGAGAAACAGCAAACTCGAGAACTTGATTCGTTTTATAGAAACTGATTATGGTAAAGGTAATAATGATGGTGGAAACCACCGGTTTTCATTTTTTATACTTCTTTGCTAAGACAATGATTATTATCTTAGGTCTTATTTTGTGTTGATCGTCCTACTAAAGGATTCCAATTGAAATTTTTTGATTTTGTGGATAACATCGCGTTAAGATTGAATATTGGGAATGTTAGCAATACGAATTTCGTAGTAATCTTATACAACTCAAGGGTGAGCACAGAAATTAGGAGCATAAGAAAGTATGCAATGGAATAGTTTAAGGATTAAATGAATCTTATTGGTTTTATTTGGAAAACCATCAGTAATGCGACTCTTGGAGAGACGAAGGAGGAAATGAATACAACATTTATAATTCTGGTGAAAATTTAGTTTTTTTCGGAATCGATAGATTGTATTGTGAGCATTTATTAAGATGGCTTCCAGATTTTTCTTCAGTCTCTAAAGTATATCTCCATCCGTCGACAAGGTTTTAATAAAAAATATTTTTCATGTATAGATTTGAAACTTACAGTATAGTAAGACGACTGTGTAAAAGAACGATAATAGAAATCCGTGTGTAATTTGGAATAAACAAACCAATTGCGTTAATCCACTCCTCGGTAGACTAACTCAATTTATTGATAGTTGGACTAATTTACTTGGATCACAGCTGCTAAAACGATACACACATCAAAATCAGTCATCAACTAGGTAGTGCGGTGTTAGATAAACTTTTATTTTTGAGGATTCTCTACTGTCAGTTTCTCTCCCTGCTTCGATTTCTTCTAAATAATGGTTGATTACTTCTACTGTATGACTGGTAATTCTTTGTGCAGATTGGCATTTCGGTCCAGTAAATATAAAGAATCATGTTGGCAAAAGGTCTCTGTAAATGTTCTTTTTTCAATTAAATTTTGTTCCAACCGCATTCTTATTGCATTGCTGTTTTAGTATCTATCTTCATATCTTAGCCTGAACATTTTTGACGAGACTATCGTCATATCTGAAGATGCGTTTTTAATACTATGATTGGTTTTTCCCCTTATTTTGGATATATATGGCCAAACAGATGTGTTATATCCACCGTCTTAGCATAAAAAGTTTTATGTGGTCGTATCTGTATTTTCGATTTTTTTAGCTTAACACTGTAGGGATGACTAAGCTTACCAAACTTGTAAGCTATCGTGAGACATAGTGTTTAGGTCATTATCTTTGTCTACGTTATCTATGTTTTTGTCTGGGTGGAAAAACGTACTAATGGCGGATTACGCTCTTCACGTCATGCAACTACATCCTTCTAGAGCGTTTGATGAGAAGCGAAATTTTACTACTAATTAACCTAAACAATGCAATGTGATAGCAACCTTATTTCCTTTAGTAGTCTTTATCCGAATAGTATCATTTGGTTATTTTCACAGCTTTATTCTCCATTTCCATTAGGTACTTACAGTAGTTTGTTTAGGTTAACATATCCATTTTATTCCGTCATATGAAACGACTTCCGCCAAAACAACCGTAGTTGTTTTTCTTTTTATATTTTAATTCGACTGTTTATTAGCTTTTTACTCAAAATTAACTTGACCTTAAACTGTTGATGGAGAGTATTGCATGTTTCCGCTAGATGCTGATTAAGATTCTGCAGATCTTAGTAAAATAAGGCTAGTTGTAGTCTAGTGTAAATATTGGTTATTTGTAGAAATATCAGTTATTTTTAAAACACTTTCGTAATTATCTACTACAAGTTACTACATGATGAATAACAATATACCGGTCCCGCTTGTGGCTATTATAGTTTTTTTAATTAACACTCAAATTACTTTAACTATTCTAGAAAGTAAAATGCACTAAATACGCTGATCATCAATTTTCTTCACTTTTGTGGGCTGAATTCACTTTCAATTTCTCTGTGTAAGGCTTGTATATACCAAATTTACTTTACCATTTGAAAATAAACTACATTGCAGGTCCCCTGTTGTTACTGTGGATAACGTGTAACTTTCAGTAATGTGGTATTGTATTTTTCTAGGGGGACAATGAGATTAGTCAGTTGAACCTTATCATTAATCTCTGCGGATCTATAACACCTGAAATATGGCCAGGTGTAGAACGTTTGGAAACATTTAGAGAAGCTCGTCTACCTCAAGACATTAAACGACATGTTCGAGAGAAATTGACCCCCAAAATCTCTTCTCTTGCTGCTGTAGATCTCATTGATCAATTACTTGTCTTGGATCCCAGCAAGCGTCTTGATGCTGAGCAGGCACTTTCACATGACTATTTTTATGAAGATCCTCCCGTAGGTGATTTGCGATCTTTTTCCAAGTCTGGGACATCTTATCTGGAATTCTTGTCATCAAATAACGCTCGTGGTCGTATGTTACAGGGAGCGAATCGTCCAGGGATTGTACGTGGTCCGGTTGTTGGGCCTGGGCAGCAAATGAATTATCTTAATGGGCCTGGCATCATGCATCCTAATCGTCGTCTACCTTTACCAGATGACAATTCGTACTATGAGCGTGTTTTTTAGTCTGATGTGCTTGTGTCTACAATACTTTTTGAAATATTACTTCCAAAACTCATGTGTAAATAGTTCACTTTGATCTTATTTTCCCTCTTCTTTTGTCAACTCCGTTTTTTACTTTTTCATGTCATGCAATCTGAATACCATAAACACTTGGTATTTAAACATATATTTCTATGTATTCATTCTGTCTTGCGCAATAATATTTAAAACTCTTTGCATGTGATAACAATGTTTGAGTTTTCAGATATATTTAATATACGCCATAGAAGTATTGGAATTCTATCTGCTTACTTCGACTGCTGGTTACTTGTATAAACTGGTGTCCTAGTGGAGTTAAGAATATTACTTCTGAGAGAGCTTACTGCTTTTTTAATCATAAGAATGTCTAAATTAAGCATGCTTATACATCAAAAAGCCACATGTTACTAAAAAACTTTGCCATATGATGATTATGGCTGTCGAATTTAGACCAAGTTAATGATCTGATTCCAACAATTTACTTATTTCCAACATGTTGTAAACTGGTTCCTCAATATCATTAGTTACAAGTCTAATATTCAGGAAACTGGTTGTTACATCTGGAGTTAAGCTTAATAAATTAGTGATTGTCAATACTTAGAAGCTCTGAAATCGAACAAGATGTGAAATTAATATTTAACTGTTTATCTGGAACTTTCCTAATTTATAGTTAACATCAATGTAGTTCGAATGTTGATCTTATACCCGACCAAGTGCAATATTTGCTTTGGTTCTGAGCAGGTTGTTTCTTGGTAAATTATTCAGTGCACAATACTAGAGAGACCCCTAATCTGATCTTGGAGTGATCTTCAGTTCAATGACTCAGGTTATGGATGCTTCTGTATGTTATATATATACTGACTACGTATGTCAATGCAGTGGCCGGACAATCAAAACCAATGATGACTTGAAGGTATAAATCGGTAGTTTATTTTCATAATCATGCCTAGAGTTAAGTTTATCTAGTTTAGAAGAAAAACATGCTAGACGAAATGGTTTTTTGTCGCAACAGTAAATTAAGCAACCAACATAAAGACACGATTAAATACTGAACAACTTTTTTAGTGGCTTACTGGTTCAACCTGTTTTATTTTCTTGATGAACTGACGGTATGTGCAAATACGAACGCATAAACGTTGTACACAGTCAGTCACAACGTAGAACCTGATACGTATATACATCGGTTCAAGTTGCAACACTATTAACACCGATTGGTGAAATTGCCAGACCAAATCCCAGAATTGTAGAGTTAGTGACAGTATGAGTGGTGATAGAGAAGACCAGGCATTAAAATACAGTTCGAGAAGAAAATGTAAATTAGTGAAATAAAAACAAATAGTTACGAGAAATTTAGAATTTCAGAATTTGGAGGAAGACAAATAATGGATGCACCTGCGTCATTGCAACCGATTTTGAGCCATGGCATTCAAAGTCTCTAACGATTGGTTACAGTAATCACACGGACCCCAGCCAAGTAGTCTATACCTGTTAACATGACTCAGTGCAGTCGTCAATGACTGAGTGGATTGGTGTTATGTTTTGATTTGGCTTCTAACAGATTTCCTTCAACCTACTAAACCAGACTACATCGCCCGTCGAGTTAGACAGTGGTTGGATTAAAGTAGTACGTCTCAACCACTTCCGTTGATGAAGATTTACTACCTCATCAACCGATTTGTTATGCTCACCTAGTGCCATATTCCTAACCCAGGCATTGCTTATTTGGTGGTCTCAAAATATACAAGCAGAACTTGGAAGATACCCTTGACCGGATACTAGTAGCCTGTGGATATCTTCTGTTCTTAATGGCCATGTCTCATATCCATAAGGTAGGACGGTAAGAACTGATGGGCACTGGACTCGTTCTTTGGTTGGAATACGAATACGTTGTCTACACCACAAGTTGACAAAAAGTTACTCAAACCCTCTGAATCCGTGCCGGGATTTCGTTAGACACAAGACCATCAGGACTGAGGAGACCCCACTGTGTACCTTTAACGCTGATACCAACCCTGAAGTAACATTTTACAAGTTAGGAACAGAGTCGCACCGCAAACACGTCTGCTTTGTTGCCTAACTTGTTCAGAAGACTATTTTTGCAGCATCTTGATCAAACAGAATTCTATCATCTGCATTTTATAAGTCAGCAAGTGGATTTCCTATAAAAAGGCCAACTCCTGAAGATTCAGATCATGAGTGTTGTCTTTGGAGGAATACCTATAACGAAGTAGACTGCCCCGTAGATGACAGTTCGCCATAACATCTGAATCTGTTTGTGTTGAGGGCCTGTGAGAGGTTAATGTACTTCTTCGGATGCCTTTCAATAAGACACTGCCAAGGAACCTTAACTGTTAGAGTTGTACGCTGCTACAACTATAGTCGGATGTCGAGAAGCATGTCTATGTTCTAGAACCTGTCGAAGGGTGAATATCGGTCCATATATCTACGTTCAGGTCTGAAACCGGACTAGTTTCCTCAGGCTTTTCACGAGCTCTGGGTAGACGTCGAAGTATTATTGAGGCCAACATTTTACTCACTACATTAGTTAAACTGATTCCTATGTGATTATCAAAATAGGACTATTGTTCTTTCTTACAGACTGAAAAGATCAGTCAGATGATATCACGTCTAGTTCCCAGATTTTAGCTACAATTCCAGGTAACTGCTAAAACTGAACTAACATCCTTAAAGATCTCAGATTTTAGTCCATCGGACTCTGCTGCTCCCACTTGCATCAGATTATTTATATTTTTTCAACCTCAAAAAGAGTTTCTTACTGTAACCTATCGCTCTCGTCTTTCCCATTACTTCTGCTCTCGCTATTCACCACTAACGATTGTTACGTAGGCTTTCTATAAGCCTATGTGTAGGCTGCCTCTGGTCCTCGAAGTGAGTCTACGAGTGCCCTGGTACGGCCGAGAGTGGGGAGAGTCTGCTCTCCCTCTCGAAATGCTCTCATATGGCCACGCGAATATGTAGCCTCTGCCAGGGAAGTCCTACTCACTGCCTTCTCGTGGCGGGGGTGTTGTTCACAAAAGTGGGAGGACGAAAAGCGAATGTCCGGCGCTTTAACCGGGTTGGTGGATGTGGAGGATCCATCTAGGGGAGTTGGAAAACCCTGATTCCAAACCAATGGTGCACATGGGCTCCAGTATCCTGATGGAACGAATGACGTATGAACCAACTGTTGGTCACCGGCTACCATGGGACTGTATCTCCTTACGATGCTCCACTGCCTTGTGGACTAGACCTTTAGGTCAAAGGCTCCGGGTGTGGGCCCCATAAGAAAACCACCTGCTCCAGTCTGGGCAGTATCACAGCCCTCACACAAATCGAATGATATTTGTGAGGCGCATATTTATCTGGTGCTTCCTTGTACCAATATTTATGTGTTTAAATAAATAGATAAAAATAATATCAATTCTGTAGACGCCGCCGAAATCTGATTTTTCCTAATTTTTTGGTAGATGTCAATGCTATTGATATCACTTCCATGGCTGACAAATTCCTCCGGTTGTTCTTGAAACATATTCCTAACTTGTTCATCATTAAATTGAACTTTAGGGACTTTTCTTGCTACAGCTTTTCTACATTCAGTAAGACACAGACAGATGTGTCTGGGCTAGATTATGATCCGAGTCCAAACATGTTTTTCAGAATGAACGAGTCTAGTATCGAACCCCTCCAACGATTAGTGTCAGTATGATCTATTTGAGTTCACCAACAAGTCGATTGTGGAGGTCGTCACATCAGACGATGTCTATTTTTACGTTTAAAGTTATTGTTAGAAATACATGGTTATTCGCGCACGGTTGCAACAGGTGGTCGCCATTATCTGTCCGCTGAGCTGCAACGCCGTAAGACCCGCTTAAGTGTCTTTCCATTTGGTTTAGTCTACCTACTTGGGCATCAAAATTACACACCAGTATTATAGCGGGGCGTTTAACTTTTTGAAGGAGGTCAAATAGCTCCCCACGAAACTCATATTTTATTTCACCTGAGCTGCAGGGATAAAAAGAAGGCAATTGAGTGTGTCCCTATCTTTCCGAGTTCTTAGCCGGAGAGAAGTGGTTGAGGCCAGTCACGCACGGCCTTTTCATGAAAAGTTTTTGACATGTTGGCTCCTTACTTTAAAATGCTTTAACGCCGGAGACGGAAATAGTCAGGGTAAAGTGAGTCGTGATATTTTCAGAGTTGATAAATTTACACCCCTCCCGTAGTGAGAAAGCAACATCCTTGTAGATGCTGGTTGTCTGAGGCCCTCGGACCTTAAGCTGCTGCTTTGTCTTATCGTTCCTCAACCGACCAGCCTAGTATATTTAGACCTAAACGAACAAGTTTCAGCAAATATAGCTCGGCTGAGTCATCACGATAGGAAGTCTCAACAACCATAGCAAAGTAGTGGCTACAGTTGGGCAGCATTAATTTGTATAAACAGAGGTTTCAGTTGGCGACTTTAGAATCATACAGCAGTTAACTGCGTACCGCATGCGTGTAAATGAACTCTTGGTACTTAGATTATGTTTGGATGTGTATATCTGTGCGATTCCCATTACAAATACATGATTTATTAGATGTATCTATGTCACAAACCCGTCAGTATCCATATATAGAACGAATTATGATGTAAATAAACAATACAGCAATTTGGAATTAAAAGTTATAATTTAATTAATAAATTTACAGAGTATGTACATCAGCGATAGGTAATCTCTAGTTTCTTTTTTTTTGATTATCTGAAATGAGAAGCGAAAATATTAGTGAGTCAAGGATTAACTTGAGAAAATAATTTAACTTATACCAAAAATACTTGTCAACAGATAAAATCCGTGTTTTTTGTAGTAAAGAAAGCAAAGTGAATAAAGCAAAACATGAGCTACGATATTATCATGCTATACTTGTGTGATAAGATGGTGTGTATGCTACCGAAGGTTAGGACGAACGACACCAGTTTTAAACCCACGTTTGGAATCAGCTGAGAGAATAACTCATTCGAACTTTATACATAATGGAAAAAGACCCCTGGTCACGAGTGTTAATCCCGTTAGTCAGTTTACAATGAAAAACCTAGTACGTATGTACATCGATTCAAGTTGCCATACCCCATTAGCACAGAGATGAAATTGTCAGGCCATATCCCGGAATAATACAGGTAGTAACAGTATGATTGGTGATTGAAAAGATTATGCATCGAAGACAACAATATTAGCAACTCATTCCTATTGGGAGGGTTAAGTATGCTACCGAAATTACCAACAGGACAATTACGGTTAATGACTGCCAAAATCCCAACACAATATTGGTAATGGTTGTAGAAAACAACTTTTCTAGAGGAACGTCTAGTCTATAATGTGTCATTAATATTCCTTGGTTTATACATTCAACAAAGTATATTGGGAATGCTTTAGTTGTTACTTCTGTCATAGTGAGCCTATATTTATCCGCACGTTTTTATCATGTTTAGATTGAGCAAAAGTAACTGGATATACGTAACCATTGTTATGTGTAATAACTAGTTGAAACAAATAATTGTTAGTAAGTGGAACATCTTTACTTTTTTGTTTGTATATGTGAATTCGATAACAATTACCTCAAGAAACCATTTATACATTTACAATTTACATATATAATTTAGTAAAGCATACTCTAAAAATTTGAGTGACATGATCGTCACATTCATAAGGTTGTTGAACAGATTACCTTTGTAAGACCGTCATTTCTACAACATAACGATATTTAACTATAAGGGAACTTACTTTTAGCAACTTTGTGTCGGAGATTTCTGTAATCATTGAGTGTAATGGTTTTGTTGAAGGTTTCATCAACATATTTAATTATTTCATTTGGTTCTAAACTAACGGTGATCATCGGGATTATAACTTGCAATTGGTCTTGGCTGAGCTTTCTGGACCAAGGGTCGTTTGTTAAATATTCACTGTCGCACGGATGATTGTGTATTGTTTTAGAAGCCGGTATTATGTATCGGTTATGCTCGTATCTGATTCTAAACATGGATTTACAACCAGTGAATTTCGATCTAAAAGGCTATCAGTATAATAACAACTAATTACCCTTTAACTCTTTGCCCAGTACCTTCCGGCTTTCGTTTGTGGCCAAAAGTGCACACATATACAACATAGTGGTAATGAAGTCCAGGCTCTTCTTTATTTAATTTGCTTTCTCTAACTACATAGTGTGTGTAAGTCATCTATGTAAGTTAACCAATATTTATGGAACAAACTTTCTGCAAAAGATCTATGGCTTCTTCAACCTGATTCCAGGACGTTAGGTGCCGGGGTCTCATTATCCTTTCAAATAAATCTCTAATATCCACTGAAAAAGGCTTATTGGGCTGTGTTTGACTTGTAGACGGTAATGGATCAACCATGAGACTACAGAGAACATAAAAAAACAAATTTTAATGACTTCATAGGTGACAGTCTAAAAGGATATTCGGAGGTGAGTATGTGGACATCTAAAGAACCTTAACTGATAAGACCAGTGATTTAAGTTAGAAACGAACGATTCATATTTATGCTAATATCTTTGTGACAATCTTATATAAACAGATTGATTTCTCTGCAATCTTTGTAAACAGCTGTTTGACCGTCGTTTAACCATTCTACTGCACGGATTATATTCAGTTTTGTATATCCAGAAGTAATAACATGTAATAAAACAGATTGGTATATTATGACAAGAAACGTCATAACAAAACTCGGAGACAAATCTTGGTACGGAAGACAAAAGAAAATATGTAAAGCACTGAATTAGGGAAAAATCTTGTTGACATTTATGAAGCCCCACTCGAATGGTTGTGGACGGAATAGAAGCTTCCGCTTAACGTGTTTCCGTATTTAGTAGCAGTAAGTCCCCGATGCCTTCAGTTAGGAACCTAGGTATATGTAACACACAGAAGGGAAATGTTTGTAAATTATGGTGAAATACTATCATTAGTCCTTAAAAATAAGTCAGTTTTTCTCTTGAGGGACTGCCGGGAATTGACTTGCACTACCTCAGCTAGCAGCGAATCCCAGAATTTTACTATTCCTGGAGTAGGTGTGCCTGCAGTCGATTCTGCTATGTTGTGTCTGTCATTTCACAGTGCTACCTCTAAAGTTTGTGTTGGGACTGAGCTTAAACAAGTATTTGGGAGGGTGCCCAGGAGTGTTTAGAGTATATATATAGTGTCATATAAATCACTGGGATACATTTGAGACGACAATACTCTAATGGGTAGACACAGTGATTTGATGTCTGAGTGCGACTTTGTATACGTTTCAGTATATTCTTACTCCTTGGAGTAGAGGAAACTATTTTTCTTACTCTAAATTGGACCAAATAAAACTTGAAGACTAGGTGGGACATTCTCTTGTGAGACTGGCCAAAAATGAGCTTCAACGCAACTAGTGCAAGTTTTACTCGAAAGGCACTTTTGTCGCAGCTAGAGTAAGACTTCAGAAAGTGAGATGGCAAGATTGTTATATCTTTTCCAACTTGGGACACCTCTATAGGGGAACTATGCGTAGTCGGCAACAAGTCTCAAGAGAACCACTTCATACTTTGAAGTGTTGAAAGTCTGTTGTTCGCCAAACTTTGAAATCGAGTCAGATCCTTCTGAAGTGCCAGCTCATTATCTTGGTTTTAAACTTCTCTCCAGTTTAACATCATCTGCTTGAAGCAATAACTCAGACGATGCAGAGGAAGTCATTTATACAAACTGTAAAGAGAAGAGGTTCTAGTACTGAGCCCTGGGGACCCCACTAGGACATTCTATAGTTTGAGAAAAAGTGAACTTGACCTTAGAGAGTTGGTTGTTCAGATATTGCGTGGATCAATCTATTAACGGCAACTTGATACCTAACAGTTTGAGCTTATTTATGAGACACATATGATTGACCCTATTAAGTGCTTTTAAGAGATCAAGGTATATAACACCAACCTTTCTCTTGCAACCAAAGATGGTTGTCCATCGCAGTCAGCATGTTAGTTATACAAAAGTGACTTCCTTTGAAATAGTGTGGTTGAGAGTAAAATGTAGTTTGCAGATAATTAGTCATGTGGACCGTCATCTATCAAGGACTCCATAACTTCTGAGGGTACTGAGAGAAGGGCCGATGGTTGATAGCTTGAAGGTTCATCATATCAGCCTACTTTGAAAATTGGTGCGATGTGTGCCATCTTCCAGTCTTCTGGAACCCTGTTTCGGCTTAGCGAACGTGAGAACACGCTAAGCGGCCATGCTAAGATTGAAGACGCTCCTCTCAATATAGCGGAGTGAACTACATCTTGGCCAAGCGGTGTTCTTGTTTAGATGCTGCAGCTTCTGACAAACCAATCCACCGCTCAGGTTTACTTCCGAGACTCCTGTTGAATTGCAGATGAGTCTATCGCCAAAGCAGTTTGTATGCGTTGTTTATGGTTTTTGAAAATACTGTTCTGTCAAGATCTCGGCGGCATCAACATTGATGTAAATTGAACCAATAGGGCTTAAAAACTGGGAAACTCCGGTTTTGCCTTGTTAAAGAGAGGCTGCATGACGGAAAAATCTCCAAATCGGAGAAAAATTTATCGATTAGCTTTATCTGATACAGAAGCCTATATTCTCTCATTGTCTCATTGTGGATTGGTTACCTGCGGTCAGGAGTTGCTATAAGGTCAGTGGAAATTTAATGGAATCGACCTTTGAATCTGTCACACACCGAAACGACATCAAGATGCTTACATGTTGTCTTAGTGTTGACGGTGAAATATGATCTGTTAACAAAATTGGAGTAGTTTATAAGTCAAAAGAACAATATATTCAAATGGCATATTACAAAGACTTGAAAAATACTAAAAATAGGCTACTAACGTGGAAAAATGTAAAAACTGAACAGTAAGCTGAGGAGTTACGGTAACTTTAATTCAAATAAAACTCAAAAACAGCTATCTATCTAACGTAAGGCTCAGGATAGATCCTTTAGGTCAAAAGTGTTACTTTTTTGGCGTAAGGAGAGCAGAAGTTTGAAAAACGCAATTCAAGAAAGGATCCTTACTTGATTTGCGTTTACTATCAATAGTAATTTCCGGACTTCGCGCATTAATAACATTCTTAGCTTATGTAGAAGACAAGCGTTTCAAAAGCAACATAGATCAAACGGAGAAGTACTTAGATCAAAAAACATCTGCCAACATGGATTACAGTACCGGTAAGTATCCTGATTAAGGAAATGAACATTCAAAAGCCAGATTCCTCCAAGGCCGCCCGCCGCTCCGTTCCAACGACCTTGAAATGCCTGCCATGAGGACGTCTCTCGGCATTTGAGATCAGTTTCAGTTTGGAAAGGACAGGAGGCTTGATGGCCTGTGTTAGTCCCGGCAATGATGGTCTCTCAGCTGATCCAGCTTTCTTTTGAAGGAGTCGACGGATGGAGCCTCAACCACGTGCTGAGGTAATGAATTCCACTCGTTGATTATTCGATGGGAAAGTCGGTAGTCAGCTGACAAGTAATTCGTTCTGGGCTTGCGAACTTTTTTGGAGTGTCCTCGTAGATTTTCTGTTTTGGAAGACAAGAAAAATGAGGGCATATCAGGTGCAAATTTGTCATTAAGCAATTTGAAAACTATAATCAAGTCACCTCTGATTCTTCTATATGACAGCGGGAATAGGTTTAGCTTGGTCAGTCTAGTACCATACGGGAGCTTCGCTATTCCGAGAATCAGCCTAGTTGCTGTTCTCTGAACCCTTTCCAAGAGTTCGCTGTCTTTTTTTGGCAGGGGTTAGCTGCCTGTATACAGTACTCAAGTTTAGGACGTACGAACACTGTATACAAAGTCAAAAACGTTTTAGCGTCAAGATGCCTAAAAGCCCTGCGTATGGACCATAAAGTCCTGAAACCTTTGGCGGCTATTGCACGGCAGTGTGCAATAGTCTTTAAGTCTTGACTGACGATGACGCCTAAGTCGTTGTGTGCCTGAACAATAGGTAACTCAGTGTTATTCATCGTGTATGTATCTGTACCCTGATGGCCAATATGCATCACAATACACTTGGAAGTGTTTATCGGCAATTGCCAGGTTTGGGACCATTCAGATAATCTCTCCAGGTCATTTTGAAGTTCTAAGCTATCGCTCTTGCTTTGTATCGCTCTCCATATCTTGACATCATCAGCATAGAGTAAGACCGATGACGATAGTAGACGAGGGAGATCATTTACGTACAGGAGAAATAACACTGGCCCCAAAACTGTACCCTGGGGGACTCCACTAAGCACAGTTTCCCAGCTAGACAACTTGGAGTTCACCCTTACTCTTTGTTGACGTCCAACTAGGAAGTCTTTTATCCACATCAATAGATTGCCTCCAATCCCGACGTTTCTTAGCTTATATAACAGCCGGTTATGCGGAACTTTGTCGAAGGCTTTGCTGAAATCGATGTAAGCTACGTCTATAGGTAATTTTTGGTCCTTAAGAGCGCACCAGCTTTCACGAGCGACTAATAAGTGAGAAGGGTGTTTCTATGGTGTATACATCGCTAAAGTATTTAGAGAATACTTGAGCTTTGCCAAAGTCGTCCTCCACTAGTGATGTGGCAGTACTGTCTCTCCATAGTGAAGGAACATTTCTTCTTCTTTTTGTCCTTTGGTTTATATACGAATACAAGCGTTTAGGGCATTCTATGGATTCCCTAACGATTTTCTCTTCGTACAGCTTTCTGGCCTTACGGAGGGTCGAGGCACAGGTATTTCGGGCCTTTTGATACTGAGATTTTGCCTCGTCAGTCCCTAGTAACCTAAATCTATCCCACATTTTCCTTCTTTTAGGGAGAAGGATGCGAACCTCCCTACTGAACCACGGTGGGGAGTTTCTCGGTCTCTTAGGTGTAGTCCAAGGGATGTGGGGGGCGGTAACTTTTAAGTATAAATTCCGGAATACGTCCTAAGCCGTTTTGATTGATGACTCTTGGTCTAATTTCCAATCTACTAATGATGCTGATTTCATGATGTCTGGTATGTTTGCTTTCCAGACGTTAGGTCTGGATTGAGCTGAAGCGTACTCATGATCGACAGTTATATGGAAGTCAAAGCTTAAAACTGCATGATCACTTTTGCCTAGGGGTGGCATGTAATCCAGGTTTGCAACATCATCCTCATAATGAGTCAATATAAGATCTAGTAAGGATGATGCAGAACCCGGGTCGTACGTAGTTGCTTCCTTCACGTGTTGCACTAGGGCACATGTGATTACCGCATCAACTAGTTCCTGTTCGAAGGAGTTTGCTGACGATTCAGTCCGAAGATTTCCCCAGTCCACCATGGGTGCATTAAAGTCCCCTAGGATTAGACATCGATCACTTCGTGATAAAGTGTTGAGACTGCTTAGCAGGACCACGTTTGCTTCACAGCTTGGACTGCGATAGATCAAACTAAGTAGCAACTCTTGTCCCCTGCATTTCAGGCGGCAGCAAACTAATTCATATGTCCCACTCTCATGGGATACACTGTCGATAATGGTGAATGGAATAGCATTCCTAATGAATAGAGCTACTCCCCCTCCTTTACGCGTTTGTATTCTATCGGCCCTTACTAATGTAAAACCCTCGAAATCAAGTTCCCTACTATCTATAGACGGCGTCAGCCATGTTTCTGTGACTGCGATTATGTCTGGCCTAGTTGAGTCAATCTGTACACCCAGTTCCGGTAGCTTATTTAGTAAGCTTCGGGCGTTGGTATAACAGATCCGAAGCCTATTTAGGTGGCCTCGTGCTTCACCCAGAGTGGCTTCGGCATCATCCTCTGTCGAATGTTGAGTTGCACGAATATCAGGCTTTCTCATGTGTGAGTGGTCTTTTGCTGCAATAAAACCAGAAAATCATTGCGAAGAACATAGATTTTGCTCTCTCTGTTTAGCAGTGCACACATTAGACTGATTGTTACTTCTCAATCTCCTCATTTCGGAGAAAATTTTCCCAGTTTGGGTAAATTTTGAGGACTTATTAGTATTCACATAACATATATCATTCTATCCCCAGCATAAATATGTTCTCCAAAAATATTAAGTATCATTGTTAATTATCACTTCGACGTAAAGTCCTGCAGATCAGGCAATCACACAACAAAATTACGGTTTTTAGTTTAAATCTATCATCAAAGTAGTATTAGTACCGAACTAGACTATAACTATGCATATTAACAAGATTTATAATGCGAAAATCCGTACAGTTGTTACATTTATATTTAAGTAAATCATTAAATTAATAAATGTCCATACAAAGCACAGTTATCGTCGACTTGTAAATCTTTTCTCCACATAGTCTTTCATATTCAGAAACTAGCCAAGCTGTTCGCCGGCATAGACTTCATTATTAGAAAGGTTTGAGCCTTTCAGTTAGGTGACAAGCCATAGATTGCATACCATAAAACGTATGAGGACCTTCCCAGCTTCACGCACTTCTGAAAAACAATAAATCAGTCGTGAAATAAACGATGGAACTTCGCTACCAGTATCAAATTCAATAAGTGAATGAAATAGCAGCTGACAGGATGTACCTATAAGTGTCTTAGTTGTTGAAAGCAGAACTCTTGATTTTCTAACACTCCTTGAATTTCACCTAGTTATTCGGTGTTAACAGAAAAACTGCAGGCACCAAATAAATGGATTCAAAACTTTAATTAGCAATATGAAATCTGGGAAAAATTCATTAAAAACGTTCATAGCTCTATTAGCAACTCATTGTTTACATACAATAGGGAAATAACTGGTAATTACTATTCAGGTATTACTCCTCAATATACACTAAAACTTTGTTTATGATTTGGTCAGTGATTTCGAATTCCGTTAACAGAAATTTGTTTGTTAAACATATAAAAGGCACATCATAAACTAGTATTAACTACGACATGTTTTAGTTGACATGCTCAAAACAAACACACCGCTTAATTATGAAGAACATTTGGCTTATTTATGTGACACTCACAGTAACGTTATGCACAATTCCTGTATATGTTCAGATAGCGGGTAGAGAAAGCTATCAACGTCAATTATTAGTCATATGACTTTTTTCTTAGATACCTTACATAATAATATGTCACTTCAGTTGAAAACGATGATACTTATAATGGCTAGAACTGTTTATGGCTGTATATTGACAAGTTATATAATATTTACAAATAGTTTGACGCTCAATCGCTTCAACCTACATTTTATAAACGACTACCAATACCCATATCCACCACTACCATAACCATAACCACTACTACCATTACTGTTACCAAATTAGGCTTGCTAAACATTCACCCAGGTTGTGAGCAACAGATACATTAAACTATTAATAGACTGGAATAAACGCTAGGTAACAAACACAAAGATTATGAAAATTGATGTGTGACGGAAAAAATGCTGTAAATAGCTGACAAATTACGACATCCAAAATTCTCGACAACATGTAACATGTGAGCCAGAAACTGTAGCATGAGCATGCCGGAAAGAATCGCTGTATCATCTTTTCGCCAAACAACCTTCGCACTTGACTAGATAGTAAAAATTGAGTGTATCATCACACGAAGTCAAAGAATTTCGTATACGTTTATTTTCGTGTGAAAGATTAGCTTCAAGGGTAAGAAAATAGAATCCGGGCACCAGAAAAATCGCGCGTCAAGCTGAATCATTCCCAAATTAAACGATGGATACTTGTTCGATATACAGTAAATTGCACACCGTTGAAATCGAAAATGATTATCATGGTGTAATCGGTCACAAGCCATCCATTGGTTCACTCAGCATTCGTTCCATTTGGTGTTTCCCCGGCCTTACGATTACACTGCCTCACTAATTTCATGTTCTTTTTATACAGTCATCTAGGCATGATAAGCAACCACTTTTGCCAAACACTGCCGACAATAATGATCGATTCTCAACTAAGTTTGAAAAGGTAAGGTGTACTGATATATGACTAGCATATAAGTGATGAAGATGGACAAGTCGTTTAGTAAAAACGCAGAGAGTAAAATGCTTGACCAGGAATAAGAAAAAGAGAATTCAGAGAAGAAAATGTTTCTTTTCGACGAAATCATTTACTTAAGCTGCACATTCGCATATATAGTTATATGGAAAATATATGTCTACAGGAGGCTAGGAAAGATTGCATTATAAATTGATTTGACAATAAATAACAAATGAGGTGACGTACTAATCAAGGGGTAAGGAAGAAAATAATTTATGGGTCAGATAATAGTTCAATTGAATATCGGGTTTAATACAGGAAGCTTGATATAATGTTTACCGTAATATCTATGGTCGAGACCAGTACTTTTCATCACTAGTGGAAATAAAGTTTATCCTCAGCTTTCAACTTCACGAGAAACTGACAAATTTTGTGTAGACCCCAAGAAAACTCAGCCGAAAATCTTCTGCTCATTTTGAATATTATGCTAAAATGTGTTCACCTTCGTAACTTACGTTGCCAGCACTAGCACTGTCTAGAGAGTGCCTAGAGAGTGAGTAAATATTCGGAGAAAATCTATTAAATTCACACTTAAAAACCTTAAGCTCATTACCTTATTTTCCTCTCAATATCTACCCAGGTCGAATTGAGCGCATAATGTACGTTATTAAATAGCTATAGTCGTCTAATACTCATCCGGAAATTCCTTAGATATTTCTCATTGCATGATGTTACCTGTAGTATCTAGCATGCTACATATACTCGATTCGTTTTAGCTTTTCAAGAAACTTTGATAAATTAAACGGAATATACGACTGAGATTCTTTTATTTTTTTGATAACTTTAGTGTTCTCACAAGAAACCTTGACCACCAGTACACGTTATAGTGTGTGGGGTCATGCCAAGCCTACATGGGTTATTCTGGCTTCCGGATAGACCATCACCCGCTACGAGTTACGCTTTGACCTTGTCAATCATTCGCTTATCAGCCTTGACTGTTTTTAAGTCAGCGTATTTGTATTTATTGCTTACCCAACTCTTCACACGTCTGTAGCTTATTTTTATGTTATTATATATATGGAGTTTCACTTCGTCCAAATGAGTTGATTTACTCGCCTTCTGAACCCTGCTTCGTTTTCTGTTCGTCCAATGGAAACCTTCAATTCTCTTCGCTTCTTGATATACATATATGTGCTTGGATCATAATAATTTATTCTGCCCTTCATCTGAACCAATATTTGACTCCTAATTTTAATCTACATTCGCGAGCTAGTGTGTAATGGTTTTTCTTTTCGAGTTCTCTTAGTCTGTTTGTGGCTTATTGTTCTGTGCCAATTGATAATAATCAGTGGTCGGTGTTTCATGTTGTCTACTAAATTCATACACCATTGAGATCTATTTAGCAGCGGTTATAAAGGCGATTGACATGCAAAACCTAAAAGAGTTATGTGAAACCTAATTCACTACAAATGCATGTGTTATTTGTATGGTGTTGTATTTCTTTAATTATGTGTCTTGCATTTCGTTGTGTTTTCGTCTTTCATTCATTAGATTATCCTATACCTGTCTCTTGGACACACTTCCTGTATTGTATATTAACGCTTGAAATAAACAGTTCAGAGCGTTGGCGCATTTTCCTTCTCCTGTATGCTTTTCAGACCTTTCTCTGTTATTGTCTGTCCCGTACAACAAGTGTATGCAAAGTGTGCATCTAAGATTCATTCCAGTATTTGGCTTAATTTTATTCCGTCATTCGCTTACGCAGATTAAGTTAATAACTATGTAGTAGGGTAGGCGGCATGAATACTTTGATAACATCATCAGAGGGTCAAATAGGAGTCAGATTACTGGATCACAAAATGCTTGAAAGACTTATGCCGATAGTTTTTGAAAATACTTACGAACAAGTAAATGGTTTTTCATACAGCGCATCGAAAACAGTGACCATGGAATTTCATAAACGTAGCCAGAACTGTCGTCTTTCAAAACGTTTTATCTATTTCGCACCGTAATCAGCACATTGTTACACTATCACTTACAACATATATATATAATCCGATCGAAAATATTTTCGGATTTTTGTTTCAAAGTCGCAGTTTGATAAGACAGGACATTCATTTGTAAGAATGTATTGTATCAATGATATCATTAAAATTAGGTAATTCAAAACGTGAATTTTATGGAGCAAATATGTACTGCGAATTATTAGACTGATCGCGTTACAGAATTCAACTATTTCATTTTATTAGACCGAACTAAGTCGTCCCGGATAGCGTATGAAGAGTTCCTCAGTGACTGTTATAAAAATATATCAGAACACAAACCCTGTGCTGGATTAAAACGGTTCTACATTAATCAGCTAAACAGATCGTGTCAGAAGTACCAAACACCGCAAACAGTAGAGCCCGTACTATGAGTCATAGGTTTTTCTGGCGCAAAATAACGTGTTAAACAGAAAGAGGAATGGTTCATAAATGAGTGTTCGGTAACTGAGATTCAATAAGGGCATTAATAACAGGATAGAATCAACTATCTATCAGCAAGAATTCCCTTTATCTTATAGTAAAGAGTGAGGTGACCTTATTATAGCATCCAGTGATTTTATTTACGATTTGTGTGTCAATATATCTCATCTTTTCCTTCCTTTCAACACTAATATTCTTTGAGGCTAAAGAAAGAAGGTTCAAAAATCGTGATCTATTGAACTCAGAGTAGGGTTCAATTTATCTCATTGAGTGGTCAATGACTGGCATGCTTTACTCAAACAAGTGGTATCATCCCCATAAATGAACATTTCAAGAAGATGAACCTTCACTGGAAAGTAAACTGTAAGCATTAACACAAGCATTGACCTTCTTAATGATGACTGAATCTTTTGATTATTCAAACATCAACTTAGGTTGCCACTCGTATGTGTAATTAATGCAAGTTCAAACCCTAATGAATGCCAATATCAATCTGTAGACTATGTCATGCAAAATCAGTGTTTGGTTTGTAATAAAGATGTTTTGTGATATCCTATTCTACCCTTTTTAAACTGTGAATGGCTTTCAATACTAATTTCTTAGAATAAGGCAATATCTCAACTAGACACAGTTGCGATATTTTGAAATAGTGTTTTCTTTTCGCTAGATCATATGAAGTATCAGTTAATCTTCTCTTCATAACAAATTTCATATAAATTGAGTCGATCCGCAAGCAAAGGACTAAATTGGCTATAATGAATCATTTACAAAATGGCTCTCCAGCTTTAGATATGAAGAGGATTGAAGCTGCTAAAGCTAATCGCCAATTGCAGCTTGAAAACTGGAGGAATTATGAACGACAGATGCAGGCATCAGACAAACATCCAAAGAAAATTCATCCCCACAAGGCAAATCGTTTAAATGTTAAATTTACCGATAACTGCGTACTACTTGATGCCACTCTACGTGGAGATTGTGAGGAGGGTGAGTTCTTGTTGTTTCAAATCATTATCGCGAAGTTCATTACCCGTATTCTAAGAAACGTATGCTTAATTTTTTGGATGAAACTTATCTTAATGCATCTTTAGAGTTTTTGTATGTAAGAAAAAAATTATCTATATCCAGCACTCTCTTAAGATCATGAAACAGATAACCTTGAGAACTCGAATATTTTATAGTATAACAGCGTTTCCCTATGCTTCCTCTTTTCAAATCCCTGTGATTTTTTAAAAATATCACGTTTAGCTATATATTATTATTTATAGTTATAGCAATTTCAAAATTTTGTTAGCCTACATTCTGCGAGCTTTATTTATATTAGTGATGTATCCATTTAGATACAGCAAATCACACCGTAGTGATTAATCCACCAATAGGTAGTTTTGGTATACTTAATATTTTTTTAACGTAGGTAGATTGCCTCTTAGGGAATTATTCTAAAGATTGTTCATATGCTTTTAACCATTTCATTATCATTTCAACGTGAAAATGATTTTAACCAAATTATTTAAATCTTTTCCTACGTCTAACTTTTATTTACTGTAAATCCTGTAGATTTAGATTGTATCCATACGTACAAATCACCAAGATCATTTAAAGCCTTTAACTAACTTAAAATTTGAGTCACAAAAAAATTAGAATAGAAAAGAATATAAATAAAGATCGGCTAATCCACATAAATGTAAATTTAATGGTTAGCAAATGAGCTAGCGTTTAAATACATTACAATGAGCAAACGACACTTGTTCTAGAGACATCTATGTTTAATTTTTTGAAAGATTCTCCAATCAGAATTTTTAAAGATAGGACATGCAATGAAAGCAAGGTGATATTGTATACTGTTTTTAATAATACTTAGGGTTCTACAAACAAGCGAGTAAAGATTCTTTCAAGAGGTAAGTTGTAGGACGCAGAGGAAACATTTAAAGAAGTTGTACGCATTTTTTATAAAGCATCCCAAGATTTCTAAATATGTCTTTCCCAGATAATTTGATCTTATAGGAAAGCCTGTATTTGGCTGCCTGGTAACAGTGGAAGAATGAATATTCTGTTACTTTGATAGCAGATCAGTTGCTCAAAATGTTCACACAAACCTAGATAAAATCTCGCAAAAATATTTAATATCATATGAACATAATGGGTCCAATCAGCTTCACTTACAATGACTAAACAATGAGGTCGCAAAATAGCCTTGCCTATTCATGTTGGATACAATGAATATTGCCAACTACCACATGTTATGTATGCAGATATATCTCACATTAACCAGGGTTTGAGTATTTAATCCAGTCTGGACGATTTAACTCAAAAACGACTTCTGTTAATCTTACTAGTACTTTAAGAGTAACTTACTTTGTGTTGTAAGATAAAACAGATCCATAATTGGATTAACTATGAGCCCTTAATGGGCTCCAGCCTAACAGCTAACTAAACCTACCGAAATACCCGACAGGATATGAGACCTTGTTTGGTGCTGTTTATCAGTTACTAGTATTACAAAATAATGAGCAGTTCTGTTGTTAAAAAACAGTGACAGCATTGTACCTCTTTGCATCTCGCTCTGCGTAGAGAATATGTAAAGTCTCAAACCTTTTTGTATCATTCGTTTGCTAATGGTTCCGTGAAACTTCGGTACCACAAATACGTATTGCTTTTTATTGCTTGTCAGATAATTAGAACCCAGATTATTTATCATGTTGTTTATCATAATTTAAATTTCAGCACTAACTTTGAGCGCTTTCGTTTGTTCAGGCCAAACAGATATATGTAGAGTTTGACCCAGAACAAAAGTTTTAGAAGAGACACTCGAAAGATCGACATCATCCATAAATTTAAGAGTAAAATATTCGAAAATGTCTCCAAAGTATACACACTTTTTCAATTACCCGTTTGCTAAGGCGTTTAATAACACCTTTTTGCAATCAATTATTTTAAAGTCTATTAATTCATGTGATGATTATGATCAACAAGCATAGCATTTACTCTATTCAACACTTTTCCTCATTTAGCATATGTTTATCCTGGATGAATATTTATCATTCATACGCCACTACCATTTATCTGGCTTAGTTACCTTACTTTAAATATGTGTGTTGTATTGCAGGAAGTAATCATTTTCATTGGTCCGGAATAACTATGTGTCAGGTTTAAACGAAGATTATTTTAAGAGACGTTTTGATTTTTTGCTTTACTGCTGACTAATATGTAACAAACAGAGGGGAATACGATGCATTTGCACAGCTTTCTGATGCCATATGATAACTATACAATTCTTTTCCGAAATAGTTGAAAAAAACAGCGGATCATTTCGTCATAGTTGTTTAAAAGTTTAGTTGTACTAAAAGTTTATTCGTTCAGTTTTATCAATAGCCTTAGTTTTTACCTATATATTTTGTCCCTTTGAAAAGCCTTAATTAAGCACAAGAATTTTTTTGAAAAATTATTTAAACTGCAGAAGATCGCAAAATGACGAAATCTCAGCGCTAAATATTGACATTTGTATAATAACTTTTAATTAAGTCGGGAAACATCTCACGTAAAACGTTTGTTTATCAGTCAACTGCCAAATATAAAACATCAAATAGAAAAGTTACGAGTAAATTTCTGGATTCTAGGTAAACAGTAAAAAGTTTATTTTCCTCAATTCGGCATCACAAACTGTTGAGAGGTTAGTAAAACTTCTGGACGTTCTCTAGTTTTTCATTATCACTTCTCATGTCTTGATAAGTATATATATGTCTCTTCAGCGAAAACAACATTTATAAGCAAGCGCTTCTGAAGAGATATTTTCTTCAAGTGAAAATTCGGTAAGTAAAATTCACTGTCTAAAGTTTCAAGAGTTATGTATGTATTTCGATTTCCTAAAAGAAGTTTAGTCAGATAGTATTAGAAAATAACTCAAGTTTATAAGTCGTCACGATCAGTTTCATAACAACCAAGTCCTCTGCACTCGACCAATGTTAAATCATATTGTAACTACTTCTATTTATCTTATTGTAGACATTTCCATTTTCAAAAGTATTTTTATATACTCATCTTAAATGCATAAATATATGAGTAAGTATATAAAAGATTATTAGGTTAGAGACTATTTAGTTTTCACATATGCTTACCATTTATATTTAAGATAAACAAATATGAATATGCTTATTGAAATCCGTGTTTTAAAGAATCTCCGTGAATGATTCTAAATATTCCATTCGGTTGCAACTTCTGTCCGTCATAGAATAGAATTATTTGTGTAAAAATAGTGTGTTAAATATCACTTTTTGTTAAAACAATCTTTAAGTAGACCAATTTGATTACTTAAGTTAGGCATAATTAAGACGTTTTCCATACTTTATGGTCTCTAAAGAAAACGGTTATTAAAGAAATTGTCATTGCTGAATAAGAGATCACTGTTTTCAGCGTTAAGGCAACCGAGTTTTTATTTTTTAAGCTCACTTTTGATAAACATCATCTACTTTATGGCGTCGCCACGACTGATCTTTTCGCAGTTACCAGTGTCACATTTGCGTAGTCCTGTCCCAGTCCAATTCTATAGACCAAGTTGTAATCTGACATCAAACCTAAGTAAATCGACGTAGCATAAGCATTTCGTTGGCACCTAGTTAAAGAAATTGACGGAAATGGAATCGACTTCTTATTGGATGACTTGTGGTAATGAAATTATAGCCCTGTTCGATATCGGTTTTGCCCTTGCTGATTCTAACGGAGAATGTATTCCTCCATTCGTGAAAATCTGTCAGGCTCATCAGGTTTATATTTATGAAACTCGGCACCACAGGTATTAGGACAATATTTTCGTGATAAGCACCTGAGCAAAAACAAGATATTCAAATATCCAAAACTAAGTACAAATTATATAGAGGACAATTAATTGAGCAATATTACCAAATTACATCCAATGGTTTGTAATCATTGATTCATCTACTGTGATTAACAGTCATAAGGTTTACTCTGAGCTAGGCACTTTTTAATAGTATCTAAGTTCAAGCATTAGATAAGTTAATTTTCTAGAAGAAATTATCTTACCACTAAATAATGAAAAAATGGTGTTTTTTCTCAGAAACTAGAATATATCATGATATATCAACGCATAGATATAAACTGAGTCAACTCCTATTATTGTTGACTAGTATATGTTGCGTTTAGTTTAGAAAGACCTATTGTGAAATTTCAGCTCACCTTGCTCTTAGTTGTATTCACTAAGCTGATATGACAGTTTTAAAATTGGATGATTTATTGACAAGAAAAAATCCACCATTAGGAATAAATTATGATGATATTAGTGAATTATCATTTGACTATTACTGTTGTTATCCATGCAGAAAAAATTCGAATACACACTAATGAAATTCACTAGACAATAAACATAAACTAGATATTCCAGTGTCCAACCATTATTTCGGTTTGATTATCAGGTTTGTCTAATATTAAGTCTATTTATTTTTGCAATGAGTGCTTTCTACATCATAAAATCTATAGATTTACACCAGACGGATATTTAAAAAATCACAAAAAAATTATATTTTTTTAAGCTTATCTTGAAAGCTTTGAAAATTTATTGTTTGGTTGCAGAAAATATAACTTATATTTTTATCTTTTCAATATAGTAATAAAGTGAAGATAAGCATTGTTTGTCTTTAATAGTGATAAAACTCAAGTATAACTTATATGATAAGAAGACTTTATAACTATAAATAACTCTATGCATTTTTAGTTTTTAAAATGTTTTCGTGAAGAAAAGAATGTATCTGTAAAGTTGTCAAAACAAAACTTTCTACGTCACTTCTGAATGGTAAAATGAAGTCATCTTTCGATCTGAGATGTTGAAAAAAGTTGACGTTTGTTTTCTTTAATTCTTATACGATACGAAATTCAAATAATACGTTTAGTGAATAAAATAATCTTAACATCAATAACATTACCTGTACTTTAATTCGTTTATAAGTTATTTTAAAAAATGCTTAAATTCATGCAACATAGTTTGTGTAATAGTTTGAAGTATTTTTAAGATAACAAGATAAACCTACTAGTTAAATAACACGATTAACTGAGTGAATTACAACACATTTCTTTCTCAGAAGGTACAAATATTTGTTGCGTTTGATATTTTATTTGGCATATTTGAATTGTTTGTCCATAACAGCGTTAATGCAGTAGCCAAATACAATAAACTCATCGGAAACGAGCTGCATCTTCCGAAACGTACTAGTGATTTTTCAATTACTTTAATAAGAACTAATCCTTATCACTTAAACGAAGAACCTTAATTGTGCCTTAAGTTTCAATTTATTCTAAGTGTTTTTACTAATAAGTGTTTTATAGCACACAAGAGAACAGAATTGTTAGGAAATAAAGACTATTGCTGCAATCTATTTTCTGAATGAATACCAGTTTAATAAAAACAAAAAGTGATGAATAGAATATAAGGTAATGTAAGACAATGCATATTTACTGTTAATTTTTGATAAATAAAATAATCTCAGTTTCCCAACAAAGTGAGTAGTAAAAATACAAATGTTATTAAGTTATCAAGTTAACTCTTAAAGATACCTAATTCCTATCTGTTAGCTTAATCCTGTTGTGTTTTTATTATTGACATCGTGATGACTTCTAATTTCGAAGGTCAGTTAACGAATAATACCGGTTATATATACAAGAATTATTAAGGCTGAAATAGTGTTCTGAAGAAATAAAGATCATATAACTGAAACGCAACATAATCTATCACAAAATTTAAGGGTACTACTTATTGAATATAGATTAGTTCAGTATTATTGTATTTCCTTTATCTTTCTATTTTTCAATTAAACTCTTATATATAGTAATTTTAATAGTAATTTTACAGCTGTACATTATAGGCTTTTATTATCATAAATATATAGTAAGTGTGTGACTGCTAATATGAAGTAATATAACATTAAATTGAAATTTACGGAATTTAGTATAAGAACTCTCGTCTAAATTAGAACGAATAGTTTCATGGAATTTAGCTTCCGTTGTAGACGATAATTGATACATTAATGTTCTGATTAATGCAGTGGGTTTTTTGGCTGGAAAAGGAATTTTTCGAAACTATTTCAGATCTTGGGGTGCGTGAATGAAATTATCAACAAAAACACTGATCTCACAATGAATATAATAAAAATAGAATAAAAGTTTTGTTTAACAGCGTAGGTCATGAAATTCAGGTTAAGTTCATCGTGATAATACCACGAGAACTCACTTTGAAGGTTTATGGCGTTTATGTTGAGGTGTACTCGCTTAATCTTTGGTGATAATTCTCATGTCAACAATTTTAGACAGTAATTAAAACATAATGAACATGACTTTCATCATTTTATGCTCCAGATATGGGTAATTATTAATATTATATAATTATCGAATGTTCAAATCTAATAAATACTGGCGAATACATTTTTGACAGTACTAAATAATACTATGCAACTGTTATTCGAATGCTACTATCTCATTAAATGATGAAAGCGCAATTATCTATATTTCGATTTCCTTTGTTTTAAATGTCAAAGTAAGAATGTTATGTTGAACTCATATGTCGTTTAATTATGAACTGTATCGTCATATAAACTTAATAAGTGTTTGTTTTCTGTCTCCGATTTTAGTTGAATATTTGCTTTCACATGGAATAGATCCAAATATATCTAATGTTGATGGACTGACAGCCTTACATCAAGTAAGTGTACTGAATAATCCTAACATTATTTAATTACTTTGTGTTTAATTGCTTAGAATTTTAATTGAGACAACTGCAGTTGTGTAGTCAGAAAATGAACAAAATTTACATAATCTATTAGACTTTATGAACAATAAAAATATGTGTAAAAGCTGACTGAAAAAGTATTTTACAGTCAGTAATACATATTCAAAAAACTATGCTATTTAATGGTTGACCCCAGAATAACATTAATTCCAAGCTCTTTTTATTGGTAGTTCATCATAGGTCAGGGATAATCCTTCATTGAGGCCGGTGGCCGACAACTAGATTCATCGGAGTTCGTTTCTTGATCGATGTTCTGATTCAGATTCTTTAGCGCTATAATGGTGAAGAACAATGAAGGTATTTTTACATGGACACACATTGAGTTGACACATTCCATTAGTTTCAATAAACTGTACTTCATGATACTCCTTTTATTCACTACAGTACCTGTGTATGATTACATCACAGGTGTTATCTAACGTTCCATATCATCAGTCTCAACTTATTGATTTTCTATAGAGCTGATGTTATATATATATATATATATATTTGGACACATAAATATTGGTACAAAGGGGAAGCAGATACATATGCGCCACACAAATCTTATTCGATTTGTGTAAGGGCTGTGATACTGCCCGGGTGCCCAAACCGAAGTAGATGGTTATCTTAGGGGACCATACCCCGAGCTTTTGACCTAAAGCTCTGATCCACAAGGCAGTGGAGCATCGTGAGGAGATGCGGTCCTATGGTAGCTGGTGACCAACGATTGATTCATACGCCATTTGTTCCCTAAAGATACTGGAGATCATGTACACTATTGGTTTAGAATCAGGGTTTTCCAACTCCCCTAGCTGGACTCACCGTGTTCATCAACCCGGTTAAAGCGCCGGACATTCGCTTTTCGTCTTCTCACTTTCGTTAACGACACCCCCGCCACGAGAAGGCAGTGAGTAGGACTTCCGTGACAGTGGCTATGTGAGAGCATTTCGAGAGGAAGAGTGGACTCTCCCCACTCTCGGTCGTACCAGGGCATTTGGGGGCATATATATATATATATAACTAAATTAATTCGGTACGACTATTCAATTGGGCACCAATAATTTGACCCTCCCAATTTTTATATCGACTCTGGTTTATGGTTGGATATTACCATTTACTTAAACACTTAGATGTAATATCAAATATGTTTTTATTTTGCTTGTGGTTTTCTATCATGAACTGTAGGTTTGTTTAATGAGGAACAAAATTTAGGTAGAGTCTGAACACTACTAACAGCATTAAAAATTATATTTGATAGTCACCTAGTTCCCAAAATGATAAGCATTAATGTTATCTGTTGAATGATTGATATTGTTTACGCAATCTGGAAATGTTAGTGTCCAATACAGTAAACATTCAAAAGAGCACAGTGGATTTTCAAGCCCATAATATATTGTTATTTCATCAGAACTTATTTGAAATTGAAAATCCCTTACAATTCAAATAGCCCTCTGAGTTATATAATTTTAAAGAATATAGATAATAGTTTTCCATGTAATAAGATATTTTTACAAAATCACCAATATCAAAAGACTACGAGCAACATGGAAATATCAAAATAGACCTGTACAAGTAATAATAATGTTTCAAAGCTTGGTATTGTATCTTACAAGCATTATACCTCGTATTAAAATAATGTCCATTTTCTTGGCTTTGGGAATTGAGCAGAGTTTATTTAATCTTCGTGAAATGGTATAACAACTACTACTAAAAGAAGCACTTATTTGTAAACATCTAATTAGTATATATAACAACAGAGCTTGTTTCAAATGTTGAGTTGTGATTGTTGTGACTGTTACTACTTTTAGCTAGAATTGATAAATAACCCCTAAAAAACAAAAGGTTTACAGTGGTTTTAAAATAATGTTAGTGAAATCCTCTAAGTTTACAGAACAACGGATGGACTCATTACTTACATTTGAAGCATCTCAAATACATATATGTGTATAATACCAAATGTAATATAAACCCCTTGTATATCGGATGCACAAAGTATCAATTACTTTATTTTAATAATTCAATTTCGTTTCTTACCTGAAGCAAATGAATCCTAAATTTATCTTCAGATTTAATTTTTATCATTTTAACTTGAAGTAGAAAAGTTTTTCTCTTATAACCACTGATCAGCATTCATTTCATTGTAGATACTTTTTCTCTATTAACGAATAATATGATGGATGTTTATTTAAATTACTTAATGAAATAATCTGTTTATACAAGCTTAAAATAAGGAACGACAAATGAAATGAGAGTAGATGTGAGGGGAAAAATACTAATCTTATTTAAGTAGATTACTCAATATTGGTTAAAAAAGGGATGAATGAATAAACAAACAAAAAGGACTAGTAATAAAAAAGTGCTTGATTTTAATAAAAATCATTATTCTGTGACACAATAACAAGAAATTTTTTAAATAAATAAATAAAAAGGACACTATACAATAGTTCAATAACAACAACACTGCATGATATACTTGAGATACAAGATATACTCCAATAAACAGAATAAAAAACAAAAAAATTACCTCAAGTATATAACAAAAAATATTTGAAAACTGTATTCATAATGGTCATCTTTTTATACTAAGACCGTTTTTTTATTTGGTAAACTGTATAGACTGTATAGATATCATGACACGGTTTTCAGCATGAAATGATGACATCTAAAAAACAAATGAAAACCATAATTAACTGACCTGCTGTTTCTTTTAAGATTAGATTCGTCATAGTTAAGATTTTTTTATCTCGTCAGTGAATTGAAACTGGGGTGATTAAAACTAAAGGATATGAACGAGAATTTGAGACTACTAATGACAAACTCGATGGTTCACATTCATAACCTTTTTCAAATCGCTACATTTCGTAATTAAACTTTTTTTCACCAACATGTTCTATTAAGAAAGATTTAGCAAGATTTGCAATCATTTTGATTTCCTCTTATAAATGATCATAAAACCTTCATGAAATATATAAATTTATCTGTTAGGTCGATGTTTTGGTCATTATACCATTTGATTATCCTTTGACGAGATACTTTCAAAGAAAACTGGAACAATGTAATCATCAGAAAAGTTACGTTAGGTATGTGATAAGTTACGATGGCGACAAAAATGATATATAATTTTAGCAAAGTACCAAGTCAATCTTTTCACAGTTTCGAATAAGTAAGGAAGAGTTTCACAGCACATTTTACGACAAAATTCTAATTTAGTTAAAATTTATTTGTGACCACATTTTAAATAAACTTAAAGTTTATAAATTATATAAATGAAAAAACTAAAAACGGGGTTAAGGACCTATTGTAGTTTGTCGGCTTTTTTTTAGTTTTTATGCTCTCAGTTATTCCATAAAATATTTCATAATTTGAATCTAAGACATCCTGTGTTTTCTTGATTGTTGAGTCCAGTTACGATTACACTTCATTTTGCTACAGATTTTTTTTAAACTACATTTAAAAATGTGCATCGTTGTTTGCAGCAAAGCAAACTTCACATTTCTGAAATTTATGCGAAATCAATCTGGAAAGAAGATAACGTTTAGCATAAATAAATGATAGTTAATATCTTTAAAATGATTTGTAAACAAAATGTTTGTCTTTCTCTTGAACATAATTTTTTGTTTAGTTAAAACAGCATTTCCTTTCTCGAAAAGAAAACTTTAATTCAGTGTGTGTTAAAAAATAAATAAACACCACTTTGATAAACAGAAGTATTTTTCGAGTTTTTAAATCCACATTTGGGCACTACTTGTGATATTTAATTAACAATCATTTGATTCATAAAATGAATTATATTTGTGGTGTTTGTGACTGATAATGAAGCTATTCAGCTACAAATATAGATAATATAATTTATTAACATCTGTGGCATACTTTTGCAATCATGGTTTTCAAATCATGTTACTTCTCGGTACTGCTTGTTATCTGATATTCATAGTGAAGTATCTATATTTCTACTTTTTAGGCATGTATAGATAATGATAGTGTTTTATGTAATCTTTTGCTTAACTATGGTGCAAATGTGAATGCACGCGATGCAGATCTGTGGACACCTTTGCATGCTGCTTCTACATGTGGTTATTTACAAATCTGTCAGTTGTTAATCAAACGGTAAGTATTATCATATACAAAAATTTGCATTGTATTTACTTATTTGTAAACTTTGGTTGATATTTAAGACAATGACTGAAGAGTGATTACAAACCCTTGGCAGTTATGTATGAATAGCACCATAACGAATGTGTTTATCCGAGTTGCAGTTTTATCAAGTAAGATAGAGAACATTGACAGTAGCTGGAAATAATCGAGAAAGTTTACCAAAAATTAACTATTACGGAAAGAGAATTGGGACGACTAGATTACCTTAAATTACACGAAAACAAGACTATTTTACGACCATCATGGAAAACCTGGAAGCACTAGACGGCCTTTTCGTCCTATTGTGAGACCCCTCAGAAGTGCACATCCACGATCCCGCCTCGCGAGATCCGAACCCAGGACCTATCAGTCTCGCGTGCGAGCGCTTAACCTCTAGACCACTTTTCCGGCATCCAACGGTGTTAATGCCTAACTTCAACCAACGCAAAAAATTGATCAACCGTCCACCATTGTCTTCAGTGAGTTTTTATCTCACAACAGACCCGGTTGAACTCCACTAGTCACTGCTTCTCACTAGAACTTCAGGAAATAACTCTTGAAGCCAGTCACTAGTTAGCATACTACTACTACTGAATGACGCAAGTTCAAGTAACCGAAAAAATGAGTGTCTGTAAATCTAAATTTGGCATACTCAACTACATTAAAAAAATACTGATTTATGAAATTTTGAGTGAGAACGAAAATGTTTTTATTCTAAATAACAAAATAATATAATCCTTAAATTCACTTAGTATTGTTTGTTTGAATCTTTCCATTGATGTTTAGGACTGCGATTGATCAGTCTCTGAGTCCTAGAGTGAACATCAACTCTGAGATGCAGGTATATCCAGCTGATGAGTCACAAATAGGACGAAATGCGCGTCCTGGATTCCACTGCTAACCACTATCCATCTCTGCCTATAATGCTTGTGAATTAAGGCTATATCAAGGCAATACTCACAGTATGCATATATGCCAATAAGAGACTGATCAATTGCAGTTCTAAACATCAATGGAAAGATTCAAACAAACAATACTAAGTGAATTTATGGATTATATTATTTTGTTATTTAGAATAAAAACATTTTCGTTCTCACTCAAAATTTCATAAATCAGTATTTTTTAAAATGTAGTTGAGTATGCCAAATTTAGATTTGCAGACACTCATTTTTTTCCGTTACTTGAACTTGCGTCATTCAGTAGTAAAATCAGAGAAACAATAGCTTCTGTACTTTCAGCACTTATTACTTTTTAAGATGTGAATTCCATTATAAGTTTAGTATAATATTTTTGTCAATGCCTAGTTTAATATAAACGGCTTTCTAAATAAGTCAATATAGCATAAGTAATCACGAGATTTTATATGCTTACTTTTTGTAAGCCATCAGTGAATGGGTGATCAGAGATTCCATTTTGGTTCATCACAATTATATTAAAGTGAGATCGTCAACTGTTTTGAAGGTGTGAAATTGCCCAAAAAATAGTAAAGAAACATTAGCTATTAGCGAATAAGTAGGGTAGTAAAATTTACTTTGACTTTACTGTATTTTGTCTTTTGAACTAAAATGTCCAATATTCTTCTTATAGTGAGGGGAAAGAAAGCCCATAAAAATATTTCGATTGTGTGTATGGCTTCTTGAAATGAATATCTTTGTGTTTTTGGTTGTCTACTCACAGATGAATGGGAAAATAATGAAGGAATAAACTTTATGTCATCAAACATGATATTTTCCCAAACTAACTAAATGTTTGGTTTCCGATAATTAAATAAGCCAATTGGGAAGTGTAAAGTATTCAATGACTGTAAATGAAAATCAACAAGGACAAATTAGACTTGATTATTTTAAAGTGAAACAGTTCACAGAGGGCGTTGTTTAAAATGATGGAGAACAAGAAAACTCCTTTATGTATTTGTATTATTCACAACCAAGCATGTAGAAAAACAGTTTTTCTCTTCAATGCTCTCAGTTCAGAGCAAACTTATGAGAAAATTTTGATAAGCTGTTATTAATAAAGCATGTTGAATCATCTAATTATAAGATACTGTGAATTTTAAAATCAACTTATTTCTTAACCAGCAAAACATATTAAGTAACGAAATTTCTACTGGCAAAAATAAATTTATCCTAACTTATAATTGTGACAAGTATCCGTCGAAATGTAGTAACTATTATGCAAAGCTAAGGATTTATGGTGTCACTTAAATAACAGATTAGTATAAATTTGAAAAGACTTCATGTTTTTCAATTAACTTAGATGCTGTAAGGCAGATTTTTCTTTTGGAAATGAGATGTTCGAGCAGCTGGAATCTATAGTTTAAACGTTTAAGCAAACGAATTTGAATACTTTTCTTTATTCCGTAAACACGTAAATAATTTTTTTCATGATTTAGATTTGGCTATAAAATACGATGTGTTGGCGTCATTCAAAACACTATCTGATCACTAATTTAGGCTTTGTTTAAGTAAGATAGAGCATTTTATGTTTATTTTAAAGATCATTGCCTGTGAATAGACCATAGTAGTATACTTCCGTTTATTTTTGCCTCACTGGGTGGTTTATATACCAAAAAAGTAAACTAGGAATGTTTAGAATTTTTATAATCAAACCACCGCTTTCTCAGATAAATTTAGAAATGCTATGGTTCAAGTCAAAACTTTGGGGGGGGGAAGGTTCAAGAGCAATTTTTACAATCCGATATAAAAAGTTGAAATAAAAACAAATTGGATATTTAAGGTTATGAACCATTATCGTTGTGTAAGAAAAATGATTTTCAATCATTGTTTTGAATAACAGACTATAAAAATGACACTTGTTTCACGACATTTATTATAAGTAGACATTTCCCGATCGCCTAAGTAAACATTGCAAAATATAATCCTTTTATCATGGTAAGGAACATCGAAATTTAATATATAATTTAATGGTTTCAGGTAGGTCCGAAATAATTCATAGTCTTTAGTAATGTTTTAATATACTAAAGATATAACCAACATAGCTGTTTTATCGGTTTTATAATATATTCGTGAATTTTTAGCCTGAAAACTTCAGGGAAAAGTCAATATACCTTTATAGATGTTCCAAACATTTCCTGACTGCATGTATAAATTACATTTCAATAAGAATAATAACGTTAAACCGTGTCATTTACACTGTCAATTTAGTATCATTATTCAGCAAAATCATTAGCTTCCTTTTCCCATTATTCTTATAGCCCCGAAGGAAAGTTAATTTTCATAAATCAGCCATTATGAGTGTATAAACTACCTGCTTAAAAATAATAGTGAATAATTGCATTAAAGTTGCTTTTTATGATTTACAATGCAATAAATCACTACCTACTGGCTTTTTGACAACATTAGTTCTGTTTTAATTCCCCAAGTGGTTAAATACTTTCACTGTATTAGCATCAGTACTCTCACTTTATCATCAATTTATATTTACCTATATTAAAGAAAAACGAATTGTACTTTTGAACGTGATAGATATCTATGTCATAGTTTGACTGTAATCGACCAGCGTCTATTAGCATATGTTCATCCAGAGGTGATTATCTAAACAGTCTTTAGTTACAACCTTTCTGAATTACGGCTGTCGAATTTAGACCAAGTTGATGTTCTGATTCCAACAATTTACTTATTTCCAACATGTTTTAAACTAGTTCCTCAGTATCATTAGTTACAAGTCTAATATTCAGGAGACTGGTTGTTACATCTGGAGTTAAGCTTAATGAATTAGTGATTGTCAATACTAAGAAGCGCTGAAATCGAACAAGATATGAAATTAATATTTAACTGTTTATCTGGAACTTTTCTAATTTATAGTTAACATCAATATAGTTCGAAAGAATGTTGATCTTATACCCGACCAAGTGCAATATTTGCTTTGGTTCTGGGCAGGTTGTTTCTTGGTAAATTATTCAGTGCATAATACTAGAGACCTCTAATCTAGTAGTTAATGAGGACACAGGTGAGGACAACCAACTATGTATTTGGCACACATTACACTTTATTTGGTAAAATACAAAAGCCATACTATGATACTCTATTTGCAAAATGTTTTTTAATTGTCTCAGGCTTGATTGTTCCTGGATTTCAACACCAATTGCTTTTTATTTATGTTCTTCTCTTCTTGATCTTCTCAATCTTCTCGATGCTACTTATCTCCTGATTTCCCCACGCGACCGGAGCTACTGTTCGTGTCATCAACTGTCGCGTCGCCTTTGCAAGCTCACTGATATCCATAGGTTGCGCGGCGTTTACCAGTCTCAGCTGCTGGGAAACGGCAACAGGCACGCTCTCGATAAACTGCGACACCAACAAGTGTGCCTCCAACTCCCCATCCAGATTCGGCAGCGCGCGACGCAACAACTTGGTAAGCTACACGGCCAGCACCAGCGGGTCAGCATCGATCGGCGAATTCGCCACTTGGAACCTCTGCAGTGCTCCTTCTCTGTCCACTGGGCTGTCGAACTCCACGGTCAACCGCCCCGTGACTGCCTCCCATGTCGTCTTACCTCCAGCACCGTCCAAGCCGTCATATATAACTTTCGCTCTGCATCTCAGCAGCGTCCCCAGTACCACCGTCTTCGCCTTCGGCTCCTTCACTCTCAACAGCTCCGCCACGGCTTCGAACTTTTTCAGTAAGCTCAGTACATCTCCGTCCTTCGGCCATGGGATCTTCATCCTCGGAGACAGCAACACCAAATGTAGTGAACAAAACACTGGTTGGGGACAATGACTCAGGCTATGGATGCTTCTGTATGTTATATATATATATATATATATATATATATATATATATATATATATATACTGACTACGTATGTCATTGCAGTGTCCGGACAATCAAAACGAATGATAACTTGAAGGTATTAAGCAGCAGTATATTTTCATAATCATGCTTGGAGTTAAGTTTGTCTAGTTCGGAAGAAAAACATGCTAGACGAAATGGTTTTTTGTCGCAACAGTAAA